CACAGAGCCGTTGTTCACCGACAAGCTGCGCAAAACATGCGCAAAATATGATCGTGGTTTTGCGCAGCTTGTCAGTGAACAACGGCTCTGTGTAGTTAATGCTGCTCCATGTGAAAGCCCGCAGGTGATGGAGATTTACCGCTGATTAAAGAACCGGCTTTACTGACAAGATGCGCGTTAAACGTCGCATGCGATTTATCGTGCAGCCCTAACTTTTTTGCTTCAAATCAAAGAGTGTACTGTTATGATTCACATCATAGCTGGTAGGCTTGTTTATGACTTATAGAGATTTAATGAAGATGTTTTTAAAATCCCTTTTGGAAAAAAGAATGTCGAAAATGTCAGGGTGATACAACTGTCCTGGTATCATAATGAAGAAAAATGCCAAATTAACTGAATGAAAACCTTAAGGGTTTGGCAAAAGTTTTAATAATGCACATTAAACGCATTAAGTTTTTTCTCTTCTTTGCCGTGGACTTTTTAATTTGACATTAGGCCAAGTAAGCCTAACACTGATAAATTGAGTCCAGTAGTTTCTTGTGCTTATCTGATGATGATTTATTTGAGCATTTGGCCTTTTCTGCATTATTGTGTTGTTGTTCATTTGATGAAGATTTATTTGAGCACATGGCATTATTGTGTTTGTGCTTATTTGATTAAGATATATTGGATCATATGGTACATTAAGCATTTCACACCAGTCAGATCTGCATGCCACCAAGCTGGAAAGATGTTCATCTTGCTACTAGTACAGAAAAAGAAAATCTTTTTATGCCAGTCCATACACAGAATGGATGTATAAGTGCAATGTAGTTCTGCCCCTGTATCTGTAGCCTGGCTCATTCACTATACTCACAGGTGTCTAATGGACTGCATGCTAAATTGATATTTTCTCTCTTGAAAACGAATCTGTATATAAATTATAGTCATTGACCTAGAAGCTTTACATTCCGATGTGAACTTAGTGAAAAGAAAAGAGAAATCCCTGAGCTAAAAAATCTCTATTCAGAGTGATTAAAAATCAGATGAAAAGTTAATTTGCTCCCATAGCCTGAAGCTGCTAATTTACTCTTATATCCACCAAGGATCTGATTTGCAAATGGATTGTTGTTGAGTGATCGTCAGTCTTCAGTCAAAACCTTCTCAACCGGAACCATTTGGAATACATTTTAACCATGTTCTGTATTTGTGGGTATTAGATTTAAGATGATAGATATTCATCTACTCGAGTAATCTTTTTAAATTGAGAGAATTTGCCTCAGGACGTGGCTTCCGTGTTCCATGTATAATTTTGATCTGTGTAAGCTTCATTATGTGTTCTTCCTTATTTTCAGGTATTGAATGTCTCGAAGCAAGCAAAAATGATTATGAATGGACATCCCAGATAATAAGCCGATATTGCATAATCATAATCCTCAATAGTAACAGACGCAGGCACAGTTAATACACAGAGGTTTTGCCGTCAGAGCAGAAGCGCTCTTATTCAGAGAGCTGACATAAAATATTGAAATTCAAAAAGCTCATGACCTACTTCTCTACTATCCTTGCTTTTCAAACTATGATTATCTGAAAACACAAGGGTACATGTTTTGGTTTAATATCATTTGATTACTCGGTAGTTAGTCTTTTTGATGATCAATGGAAAACATGTCTGCATAATCATAGTCTTGTGATGCTTCTTATAACGTCCACCTCCTCATACATTAGTCATGCAGACTGAATTTGCATTCAGTGTATTCAGTGCATTCAAGTAGATTATTTTTAAGGTAATGTATTTTCCATTAGTAATTCATGAATGTACTTTTTCTGCATCTCCATTTGGGCTAATTTCTGCACCTTTGACTTAACCAATAAATGTCTTAAGCGAATATACACTACTGTTCAAAAGGTTGGGGTCAGTAAGAATGTTTTTTTAAAGAAATTAACACTTTTATTCAGCAAGGATGCATCAAATTGAGACATTTGTAAAGTTACAAATTCGGTTCTTTTGAACTTTCTATTCATCAAAGAATCCTGAAAAAAGTGTATCAATAGTGTGAGAAAATATTACAGAGCCCAAAAAGCTCGAAACGTGATTGGGTTTGGCCTGTAAATAAAACTCGCAGTTGGCCTGTTACTGCAAAATTGCGTGGTCTGGATTGAATGAATTATAATCTGACCCTCACTGATGTAATTGACGTGAGCGATTCAATGGAAAGACTAAACGTCTACTAAAACATCTATCACAACCTCTGTGAACCTCTGAGGTTTTTATTTTTCCAGAACTGTGCGACAACAAATGGGTGTAATATTCAATGAATCAACAAGTCTCCAAAAAGAAAACATCCAGATCAAAAT